TCCGATGTGTGTTGCAGTACTCCTCACGGGATTGGCCAGGTTTTGTTTTCGTCACAAAGCTCTGCTGATTGGCAGGTGGTGGTGGGTTTAACGACACACGTTTGTAATTACACGATCTGACCCCAACACAAACTCATCATTAAAACGGGCATTACCACCCACCACCTTTTCCAACCATTATATAAACGCAGTGGTAGCTCCTGCAATCTCTCATTTACTTGATACAGCTGTCGTGGCTGTGACAGTACCACCTGAAGACGGAAGCTTGTGTTGCCTCCGAAACGTCGTGATTTTTATTTTATTTTACTTTTTAATGTTTTTACCTACGTGACGATACCGAAAAAAAACCTAAGAATACGGGCATTACAGTTTAATTCCGATCTTCGAGAATGGCCGATTGACACCATGCATCATTGTTTCTAGCAAGAGAGGGATATTGAATCTATTCACACACGTACGGAGCACAAAGATAAATACAAAGATCCCCCGTATTGCCTTGACAGACTGTAGGGGCAAGTGCTGTTAGCGAGCACCTATCAAGGCCGGCACGGCACACGAGGGGGTGGGTGGCCAGCACCACGCCCGGCCGCCTTTGTCTCCCTAGCGGCGATGTTTACACATCACACCAGGTACTCATTTGAGGCTGAGTCGACCTAGGGAAGGTCGGTTTCAGATAATCGTCACTGGTGTTGGCCGTGAGCGGGAATCAAACCCGTGTCGCCAAGTTCGTAGCGCAGCGCGCTAACCGCTACACACACGCATACGTGCGCACACACATACGTGCGCACACACACGCATACGTGCGCACACACGCGCACGCATGTAACTCGAATTGTCCCCAAATAGGTTATGAAAGGGCGTCTCGTTCAGGCTCTGTCCGGCATCTATCCATCACGAAAGAACATGGTGGTCCCTCTGGGCCGGCTGGAGATGTCCCCCCGTGCTCCCCCCCCCCACCCCCCTCACATTCCCCACCCCCCTCACATTTCTCCCTCCCCCCTCACATTCCCCTCCTCCCATCCCCCCTCCAATTCCCCCACTCCCATTCCCCCCCACTCCCATCCCCCCTCCCATTCTCCCCCTCCCAATCCCCCCCTCCCATTCCCCTCCCCGTCCGTGCTGTCGGCTCCATGCCCCCCGCCCCCGTTCCAAGTCCAAGTTCAAGAGCTTCCTCCCTCTTCTCTGCCAATGACCAACTGGACTCTCTCTCTCTCCCCTATTGACTCACACAGAGACCCATAGACTCACACAGAGACTCATAGACTTACACAGAGACCCATAGACTCACACATAGACCCATAGACTCACACAGAGACGCATAGACTTACACAGAGACCCATAGACTCACACAGAGACCTATAGACTCACACAGAGACCCTTCGACTCACACAGAGACCCATAGACTCACACATAGACCCATAGACTCACACAGAGACCCATAGACTCACACAGAGACTCATAGACTCACACAGAGACCCATAGACTCACACAGAGACTCATAGACTCACACATATACCCATAGACTCACACAGAGACCCATAGACTCACACATAGACCCATAGACCCACACAGAGACCCATAGACTCACACATAGACCCATAGACTCACACAGAGACCCATAGACTTACACAGAGACCCATAGACTTACACAGAGACCCATAGACTCACACATAGACCCATAGACTCACACAGAGACCCATAGACTCACACAGAGACCTATAGACTCACACAGAGACCCTTAGACTCACACAGTGACCCATAGACTCACACAGAGACCCATAGACCCACACAGAGACCCATAGACTCACACAGAGACCCACAGACTCACACAGAGACCCATAGACTCACACAGAGACCCATAGACCCACACAGAGACTCATAGACCCACACAGAGACCCATAGACTCACACATAGACCCATAGACCCACACAGAGACCCATAGACTCACAGAGAGACCCATAGACTCACACAGAGCTATATGACTGCCCCGTCTCTTTAAATGCATTGTCCAGGCTCCTCCAGACTGATCTCTGGCTACCCCTCTCATCGCTAAACGTCAAAGAAGACACAAACACCAACCCAGTCCATCCTGGTGGCGGTCGTGGGGGTGGTGGTGGTGGCGGGTGGTGGTGGTGGTGGGTGACGGTGGTGGCAGGGTGGAAGTTGTGGTGGTGGCAGTGGTGGCGGTGGTGGCGATGGTGATGCCGGTGGTGGCAGGGAGGAAGTGGTGGCGGCGGTGGTGGTGGCGGTGGTGGTGGTGGTGGCGACGGTGGCAGTGGTGGTAACGGTGGTGGCGGTGGTGGTTACGGTGGTGGTGGCGGTGGTGGCAGTGGTGGTGGCGGTGGTGGCGGCGGTGGCAGTGGTGGTAACGGTGGTGGCGGTGGTGGTTACGGTGGTGGTGGCGATGGTGGCAGTGGTGGTAACGGTGGTGGTAACGGATGGTGGCGGTGGTGGTGGTGGTGTCGGTGGTGGTTACGGTGGTGGTGGCGGTGGTGGCGGCGGTAGCAATGGTGGTGGCAGTGGTGGCAGCGGTGGTGGCGGTGGTGGCGACGGTGGCGATGGTGGCGGTGGTGGCGGCGGTGGTGGCTACGCTATCACACGTGGCTGCTGCCTCCAGTGGAGGCAGCAGTAGCAGCGAGGGGTTCGTGGATCACCACACTCGCGCACAGAAGTTGTTGTGGAACTCCTTCTACACGTGGGTGGGCATCAAGGAGGGGCCATAATACCCTGGAGAAGTCGATGCAGCAAAGTGTGGTCTCATCGCCATCTCTTGTTCCCATCTGTCCTGGGGGGACCCAGTGGTTCCCCCTCGGTCAGGCCATGGATGTTCTCCGGGCGCACCGATGTTCTGCCCCACGTGGTATAACAACAACAATAATAAACACAGATCGCCCTTGATTGGTGTAACTGTGGTCACGCGCTGGTCCCGGGTTGTGACGACTCTCTGGTGCCCGCGTGGAAAAAAAAAACATTAAATAAATCCTTAATTGGGTTGAAAACATCTTACGAATAGAAACCGAAATGTTTTGGCGGTGGCAGGACCCCTACTGAAAATAGAGTCATACGACTCAGCATGGCTCTCCTGGATAAATAATTCGTTATTATCACTACTACAGGGACTCCTCTACTTACGATAATTCGACTTACGAACTTTCAGAGATACGAACAAACCTGTTCGTATGTCCAGTTGCCTGTTCGGACCGAGAGTCCTAAGATCAACCGCCGTTCAAAAGATGGCGGTGGTGGCATCTACATCTGCAGAACGTGAAGAAGCAGTGGCATCTACATCTACAGAACGTGAAGAACCAGTGGCATCTGCAGAACGTGAAGAATCAGTGGCATCTACATCTGCGGAATGTGAAGAACCAGTGGCATCTACATCTGCAGGAGATTGTACAACCTGTGTTTAGTGTACACTCCATACAACATGTTTGGAATGGACTGGAGTAAATTTGAAATTACGAACAAATCGACTTACGAACAGACCTCTGGAACTCGTTCCTAAATAGAGGAGTCCCTGTACTAAAAGAACGCTAGTGCCAATATTGGACAACTGTGGATAGAGGGAGCATTATAGCTCCCCTACGGCCAATCATCGTAACGTGTGTGTGTGTATTTAATGAAGTATCAATACAGAACCATTCGGCCACCTGTTTACAATCATCTCAACGTGTGTATTTAATTATCTATACAGAAACATTGGCCACCTGCTCCCAATCATCTCAACGTGTGCGTGTGTATTTAATTAAGTATGAATACAGAACCCTTTGCCACGTGTTCCCAATCATCTCAACGTGTGTGTGTGTGTATTTAATTAAGTATGAATACAGAACCCTTTGCCACGTGTTCCCAATCATCTCAACTTGTATGTATTTAATTAAGTATGAATACAGAACCCTTTGTCACGTGTTCCCAATCATCTCAACGTGTGTTTAATTAAGTATCTAGACACAACCCTTCAGCCACCTGTTCACAATCATCTCAACGTGTATATTTAATTAAGTATCAATATAGTTCCATTCGGCCACCTGTTCCCAATCATCTCAACGTGTGTATTTAATTAAGTATCTAAACAGAACCCTTCGGCCACAAGTTCACAATCATCTCAACGGGTACATTTGATCATTTCTCTATACGGTCCCCTACCGTTGTACAGAGGCGACTTTTGCCACGCTTGACAATAGCTCATCGGTCACAGCATGGGAGTTTAGAGCTGAGGCCAAATTAATCTAATTACGCGCGTTGTTGTTTCTAAATGTGGGTGAGGGAGGGCGAAACCGGAAGTACCCGGCAGAAAAATCAACGCTACGACCGCCACGAGGACAGACAGAGAGAGAGAACACTCGGACCTCCAAATGTACAACAACAGGCATCGCCAGGGTCCGGGATGGAACCCGCGCAGTCCTGCATAGCCGGCTATGGGAGACAGCCGTCTCTTCGCCACTGGGAAGAAAATGCACAATTTTATTTCGAGATGAGCCATTGAAGTAGTTTGAGACAGACGAAGGCTTCGGTCTGACTTTCCAGAGCGCCTTGCGTACTCGTACGAACGTACATGTTGAGCTTCTCTTTTGAGCCGCATGTGGCCAAGCCGTGCTAATCAGAGGTGTGGCAAACCGGGAGTAGTTACGGTGAGAGTCGATGATGATAACGACGATGATGACAAAGATGATGACTACGATGATGATTATGATGATAACTAAGTTGATGATGACGATGATGACAATTACGATGATGACAACGATGATGATGATGAATTCGATATCTACGATGATGACAACGATGATGATGATGATTACGATGATGACTACGATGCCGATGACTACAATTATGACTACAATGACGATTACGACGACGATGACGACTACAATGATTAGGGAAGGGGGGGGGGTCTATGCTGAAACACAAAATGGCCGCATTCTCGCTGTGCCCCATCTCCAACCCCGCCTCCCGCCCTGTCCTATCCCCCTGCACCCCCCCCCGTCCCCCCCGGCTTGCAGAAAGACAAGTGGGACACGAGCAACTTCGACCGGGCGTTCACCAAGGACCCGGTGGAGCTCACGCCGGTGGACAGGCTCTTCATCATGAACCTCGACCAGAGCGAGTTTGTCGGATTCTCCTACAACAACCCCGAGTTCGTCATCCAAGTGTAGAGAGGAGCCGGTGTGCCCCCCACCCCGTCACGCCATGCAGATGGGGGGGGGGCTCCATCATTCCCCAGTTGGGGGGCTCCATCGTTCTCAGCTGGGGGGCTCCATCATACTCAACTGGGGGGCTCCAACGTCCCCACCCCGGCTGGGGGGCTCCATCGTCCCCAGCTGGGGGCTCCATCATGCTCAACTGGGGGGCTCCAACGTCCCCACCCCGGCTGGGAGGGGGTGGGGAGGAGAGCAGCCGTGTGAGGAAGGGCCGTGAAAGGACCCCGGAGGAGTGGCATAACGAGCATGGGGGCAGGGAGTGCCTTGCCCCCCCCCCCCCCCCCCCCGTGGCCAAAGTTACGAGTTGGGGGGCCCCCTTGACAACCGCTGTGCAAAGAGACAAACTCAAATATTGGGTCCCCCCCCCCCCCCCGACCGATAGGCCACAGTACCCCCTGAGCTACCGATGATGTCGTTACTACGTCACTGATAACGTTACTACGCCACTGATGATGTCATTACTACGCGACTGATAATGTACTTACGACACCACTGACCATGTAGTTACTACACCACTGATCATGTCATTGCTACGCCACTGATGATGTCGTTACTACGCCACTGATGATGTCATTACTACGCCACTAATGATGTCGTTACTACGCCACTGATAATGTAGCTACTATGCCACTGATGATGTCATTACAACGCTACTGATCATGTATCTACTACACCATTGATGTCATAACTACACCACTGATGATGTAGTTACTACACCCACTGATGATGTCGTTCCTACGTTACTGATGATGTCGTTTTTATGCCACTGATGATGTTACTACGCCACAATGATGGCGTTACTACTCCACTAATTATGTCATTACTACGTCACTGATGATGCCATTACTACGCCACTGATGATGTCATTACTACGCCGCTGATGATGTCATTACTACACCACTGATGATGTGCTTGCTTCGCCCACTAATGATGTCATTACTACGCCACTAGTGATGTTGTTACTACGCCCACTGATGATGTCGTAACTATGCCACTGATGATGTCATTACTACGCCACTGATGATTTCGTAACTACGCCACTGATGATGTCATTACTACGCCACTGATGATGTCATTACTACGCCACTGATGATGTCGTAACTACTCTACTGATGATGTCGTTAATACACCACTGATGATGTAGTTACTACGCCCACTGATGATGTCGTTACTACACCACTGCCCTGGGGTAGTAGCCACCTCGTCATTACCATGGACTGTGCAACCGCTGTGCTCTGTGTAGCAGCTCTTCAGGGCCTCGGGAAGTAGAGCATTCGCTGGTGAAGTGGAGCGTTCGCTCGTGAAGTGGAGCATTCGCTGGTGAAGTGGAGCATTCGCTCGTGAAGTGGAGCGTTCGCTGGTGAAGTGGAGTCTTCGCTGGTGAAGTGGAGCGTTCGCTGGTGAAGTGGAGCGTTCGCTGGTGAAGTGGAGCGTTCGCTGGTGAAGTGGAGTCTTCGCTGGTGAAGTGGAGCATTCGCTGGTGAAGTGGAGCGTTCGCTGGTGAAGTGGAGTCTTTGCTGGTGAAGTAGAGTCTTCGCTGGTGAAGTGGAGCGTTAGCTCGTGAAGTGGAGTCTTCGCTCGTGAAGTGGAGCATTCGCTGGTGAAGTGGAGCGTTCGCTGGTGAAGTGGAGCGTTCGCTGGTGAAGTGGAGCGTTCGCTGGTGAAGTGGAGCGTTCGCTCGTGAAGTGGAGCGTTCGCTGGTGAAGTGGAGTGTTCGCTGGTGAAGTGGAGCGTTCGCTGGTGAAGTGGAGCGTTCGCTGGTGAAGTGGAGCGTTCGCTGGTGAAGTGGAGCGTTCGCTGGTGAAGTGGAGCGTTCGCTCGTGAAGTGGAGCGTTCGCTGGTGAAGTGGAGTCTTCGCTGGTGAAGTGGAGCGTTCGCTGGTGAAGTGGAGCGTTCGCTGATGAAGTGGAGCGTTCGCTGGTGAAGTGGAGTCTTCGCTGGTGAAGTGGAGCGTTCGCTGGTGAAGTGGAGCATTTGCTCGTGAAGTGGAGCGTTCGCTGGTGAAGTGGAGTCTTCGCTGGTGAAGTGGAGCGTTCGCTGGTGAAGTGGAGCGTTCGCTGGTGAAGTGGAGTCTTCGCTGGTGAATTGGAGCGTTCGCTGGTGAAGTGAAGCGTTCGCTGGTGAAGTGGAGCGTTCGCTGGTGAAGTGGAGTCTTCGCTGGTGAAGTGGAGCGTTCGCTGGTGAAGTGGAGCGTTCGCTGGTGAAGTGGAGCGTTCGCTGGTGAAGTGGAGCGTTCGCTCGTGAAGTGGAGCGTTCGCTCGTGAAGTGGAGCGTTCGCTCGTGAAGTGGAGCGTTCACTGGTGAAGTGGAGCGTTCGCTCGTGAAGTGGAGCGTTCGCTCGTGAAGTGGAGCGTTCGCTGGTGAAGTGGAGCGTTCGCTGGTGAAGTGGAGCGTTCACTGGTGAAGTGGAGAGTTCGCTGGTGAAGTGGAGTCTTTGCTGGTGAAGTGGAGCGTTAGCTCGTGAAGTGGAGTCTTCGCTCGTGAAGTGGAGCGTTCGCTGGTGAAGTGGAGCGTTCGCTGGTGAAGTGGAGCGTTCGCTGGTGAAGTGGAGCGTTCGCTGGTGAAGTGGAGCGTTCGCTGGTGAAGTGGAGCGTTCGCTGGTGAAGTGGAGCGTTCACTGGTGAAGTGGAGCGTTCGCTGGTGAAGTGGAGCGTTCACTGGTGAAGTGGAGCGTTCGCTGGTGAAGTGGAGCGTTCGCTGGTGAAGTGGAGCGTTCGCTGGTGAAGTGGAGCGTTCGCTGGTGAAGTGGAGCGTTCGCTGGTGAAGTGGAGCGTTCGCTGGTGAAGTGGAGCGTTCGCTGGTGAAGTGGAGCGTTCGCTGGTGAAGTGGAGCGTTCGCTCGTGAAGTGGAGCGTTCGCTGGTGAAGTGGAGCGTTCGCTGGTGAATTGGAGCGTTCGCTGGTGAAGTGAAGCGTTCGCTGGTGAAGTGGAGCGTTCGCTGGTGAAGTGGAGTCTTCGCTGGTGAAGTGGAGCGTTCGCTGGTGAAGTGGAGCGTTCGCTGGTGAAGTGGAGCGTTCGCTGGTGAAGTGGAGCGTTCGCTGGTGAAGTGGAGCGTTCGCTGGTGAAGTGGAGCGTTCGCTGGTGAAGTGGAGCGTTCGCTGGTGAAGTGGAGTCTTTGCTGGTGAAGTGGAGCGTTCGCTCGTGAAGTGGAGCGTTCGCTGGTGAAGTGGAGCGTTCGCTGGTGAATTGGAGCGTTCGCTGGTGAAGTGAAGCGTTCGCTGGTGAAGTGGAGCGTTCGCTGGTGAAGTGGAGCCTTCGCTGGTGAAGTGGAGCGTTCGCTGGTGAAGTGGAGCGTTCGCTGGTGAAGTGGAGCGTTCGCTGGTGAAGTGGAGCGTTCGCTGGTGAAGTGGAGCGTTCGCTGGTGAAGTGGAGCGTTCGCTCGTGAAGTGGAGCGTTCGCTCGTGAAGTGGAGCGTTCGCTCGTGAAGTGGAGCGTTCGCTGGTGAAGTGGAGCGTTCGCTGGTGAAGTGGAGCGTTCGCTGGTGAAGTGGAGCGTTCGCTCGTGAAGTGGAGCGTTCGCTGGTGAAGTGGAGCGTTCGCTGGTGAAGTGGAGCGTTCGCTGGTGAAGTGGAGCGTTCGCTGGTGAAGTGGAGCGTTCGCTGGTGAAGTGGAGCGTTCGCTGGTGAAGTGGAGCGTTCGCTGGTGAAGTGGAGCGTTCGCTGGTGAAGTGGAGCGTTCGCTGGTGAAGTGGAGCGTTCGCTGGTGAAGTGGAGCGTTCGCTGGTGAAGTGGAGCGTTCGCTGGTGAAGTGGAGCGTTCGCTGGTGAAGTGGAGCGTTCGCTGGTGAAGTGGAGCGTTCGCTGGGTGAAGTGGAGCGTTCGCTGGTGAAGTGGAGCGTTCGCTGGTGAAGTGGAGCGTTCGCTGGTGAAGTGGAGCGTTCGCTGGTGAAGTGGAGCGTTCGCTGGTGAAGTGGAGCGTTCGCTGGTGAAGTGGAGCGTTCGCTGGTGAAGTGGAGCGTTCGCTGGTGAAGTGGAGCGTTCGCTGGTGAAGTGGAGCGTTCGCTGGTGAAGTGGAGCGTTCGCTGGTGAAGTGGAGCGTTCGCTGGTGAAGTGGAGCGTTCGCTGGTGAAGTGGAGCGTTCGCTGGTGAAGTGGAGCGTTCGCTGGTGAAGTGGAGCGTTCGCTGGTGAAGTGGAGCGTTCGCTGGTGAAGTGGAGCGTTCGCTGGTGAAGTGGAGCGTTCGCTGGTGAAGTGGAGCGTTCGCTGGTGAAGTGGAGCGTTCGCTGGTGAAGTGGAGCGTTCGCTGGTGAAGTGGAGCGTTCCCTGGTGAAGTGGAGCGTTCGCTGGTGAAGTGGAGCGTTCACTGGTGAAGTGGAGCGTTCACTGGTGAAGTGGAGCGTCACTGGTGAAGTGGAGCGTTCACTGGTGAAGTGGAGCGTTCACTGGTGAAGTGGAGCGTTCACTGGTGAAGTGGAGCGTTCACTGGTGAAGTGGAGCGTTCGCTGGTGAAGTGGAGCGTTCACTGGTGAAGTGGAGCGTTCGCTGGTGAAGTGGAGCGTTCGCTGGTGAAGTGGAGCGTTCGCTGGTGAAGTGGAGCGTTCCTGGTGAAGTGGAGCGTTCGCTCGTGAAGTGGAGCGTTCGCTGGTGAAGTGGAGCGTTCGCTGGTGAAGTGGAGCGTTTGCTGGTGAAGTGGAGCGTTCGCTGGTGAAGTGGAGCGTTCGCTGGTGAAGTGGAGCGTTCGCTGGTGAAGTGGAGCGTTCGCTGGTGAAGTGGAGCGTTCGCTCGTGAAGTGGAGCGTTCGCTGGTGAAGTGGAGCGTTCGCTCGTGAAGTGGAGCGTTCGCTCGTGAAGTGGAGCGTTCGCTCGTGAAGTGGAGCGTTCGTTTGTGAAGTGGAGCGTTCGCTGGTGAAGTGGAGCGTTCGCTGGTGAAGTGGAGCGTTCGCTGGTGAAGTGGAGCGTTCGCTGGTGAAGTGGAGCGTTCGCTGGTGAAGTGGAGCGTTCGCTGGTGAAGTGGAGCGTTCGCTGGTGAAGTGGAGCGTTCGCTGGTGAAGTGGAGCGTTCGCTGGTGAAGTGGAGCGTTCGCTGGTGAAGTGGAGCGTTCGCTGGTGAAGTGGAGCGTTCGCTGGTGAAGTGGAGCGTTCGCTGGTGAAGTGGAGCGTTCGCTGGTGAAGTGGAGCGTTCGCTGGTGAAGTGGAGCGTTCGCTGGTGAAGTGGAGCGTTCGCTGGTGAAGTGGAGCGTTCGCTGGTGAAGTGGAGCGTTCGCTGGTGAAGTGGAGCGTTCGCTTGGTGAAGTGGAGCGTTCGCTCG